TTTATTATATATAAATAATTGTAAGTTACTTTTCATTATTTATATATAATGATTTGTTACCTTTTCATTATTTATATTAATGGAATCAGTGAACTTATTATATATAAACAATTGTAAGTTATTTTTCATTATTTATATATAATGATGTGTTACCCCTTCCTTATTTAATTTATTTATTTATTTTAATGAAGCCAGTAACCTTATTATATATAAATATTGTTTGGTTAGCCTTTCATTATTTATATATAATGTAATCAGTAAACTAATTATATATAAATAATGAAACGTTAACGCAATTATTTACATATACTCTTTTTGACGTAAATGCATTATATATAATTAATGGGTGATCAATTCAATTATATGTTAAATAATGAATTATATATAAATAATTGTGTTAAATAATAAATTTACACTTGGCGCCTCATACATTTGTAGCTACCCGAAATGAAATAGTAGACTTCAAACAGACGTAGCGCGGTTGTGGAGATCGAACATGACCGAAGCCTATTTTGTCGGTTTTGGCATACTTTATATTCCTTGGATTTTTCCACGAGCTTGTTGCCTAGTAAAACGTCATTTCCGGTTTTATGGGTAATTACGAGTTGTGTATCTTAAATTTACAAAACTAAAGAGGAGAGGGGGGGGGGGGGGTTTCCAAAATGAATGTTGTAAATTGTAATTGTTACTTTGCGACATTTTCCAACTATAAATTTTCGAAAATCTGTTGTATTTCTTAAATTTTAACCATGCTAGTATAATAACATAATACTGATACTGTCACGCTATTACAATCATCAAAGATAAAGTCAGTCTGAGTGTAAGTACTATCTCGCACAGAAGCCCCGGGCTTCTTTTGAAGGACCCTTTGGCTTCTTTTCAAGATTGGCTTCTATTCGAAATTTCTTTTGCAAACTAAGGAGGGGGCTTATTTTTGAGAGGGGATTTTCTAGAGATTAAGCCAATTCAGGTTCTATTCGAGGTTCACAGTACTTTCACTGCAAAAGGTAGATTCAGATACTTATAAACACATATTGGATATAGAAGAGTAACTAATTTTTGCTGGTATATTGAGGAATAACAATACTAACTAAAGTCAGATTTATGTCCCATACATTTCAAGGGAATTTCATAAGGCTCATTTTTGTTTTCGGTAACTTCAATGTTTTCTTCTGCAGGAGTAGTTACCTCAAGTCCGCTGTTGTGTGGCATTGCATAATCATACGTGTCTTGTGTTTTTGTTTTGATGACTTCATAATGATCTTCCTGTTGTATCAAATCATCTTTTACGAGCTTGTTATAGGTATTAAGTTCAGTTGTTTCTTCAACTACTCGAGTATTTTTTGTCAGTTTGTCATCTTGGACACATTTATGTGCATTGTTCCCATTTGGGTGGTTGTATCTGGAATAGTTTATCAGATGTTTGGTAAAGGACAATGCAGACATATCATGTTAAAATGATAGATATACTAGGCCTAAATATTACCATTTACTCCGACTATTAAACACCTGATACTGTTAATGAAATGATTTATGTATGGAAAAACAAACCTGTAGTACAGGCCAAACGAGAAAATAAGAAAGATGATGATGATGGAAAGAACAACCACCAGTGCAATCATGAATCCGGGGATTGATGATCCTGTAGAACATAACAGACTATTAATAATAATGTTAAAATATTATAATAATACTTTGTATTTTGAGTAGTAGTATTTGTCCCCCTGTCTCTTGTTCTCGTCCTGCCACCTGCCTGTGTTCTGTACTTATTTCCCTTGCTTGTCCAATTTTAAAGGCAAGACCTAGGGTTTCTGTTCTGTTCCTTTCTTTGCCATTTTGTTTCGTTTTATTTATTTTATTTTTGAGACTATTTTTATACGGATGAAATTTTAATGTATTGGCAAATAAAGTGATTTTACTACAATAATAAATAACAACAACAATACTAATAATAATAATATAATAATAATAATAATAATAGATAATAATAATATTAATAGTAATAATTATACTAATAATAATAATAAAAACAATATGAGGAAAAAGGTAATAACAATAGTATTAACAACAACAACAATAATAATAATAATAATAACAATGATGATGACGACGACGATAATAATGTTAATCAACAATAATATGTGACTATTTTATCAGGAAATAATGGCTACTACAGATTCTATTTCCAACAGGATTCTCAAAACCTGACAAGAATTGTTTAATATTTATATAATAGGTATATAAAACACTGTTGTTGGTTTCAACCAGTTTTGTCTGTGAGAGTTTAAGCAATTCTTTAAAAAAGGCTCCCAGCGGGAGCGTGTATATACTTTACATGTTTTTGCTACTGTAGTGACTTTTTAGTGAACTTTCTAGGACAGGTCTTATGTAGCGTTATGTGTTGTTGTTGTCAATTTAATTGATAACTTAATGTAGGACAGATCTTATCTAGTATGCTATCATATTTCGTAGGCTTGCTTTTCATCTTTATCTTTAGCTCATGACTCATTCCATCATTCCTCCACACCGGATTTACTCTCATACCTCTACCGAATTTACTCTCATACCTCTACCGAATTTACTCTTACAAAGTTAACTGCCAGACAACAGCATTGTGTCTACTGCACCCTGGTTAAGTTAGATAAATAGATTACGGATAGAGGGATGATCTGCCACATTCTAAGCTCGATAGCCGAAATAAAACAAAACTGTAAAAAACTACCTGTACTCCGCCCAGCGGTGAAAAAGGGGCTCCAGTTTCCCACACCAGCCCCATTGACTACTCTAGCCTGTAAGTATAAAATTATGGTTTCTCTTTTTATTTGTTATGTAATATGGTTTCCCTATTTATTCACCACTTACCAACCAACTGAAAGAAAACTTTAAATGTGTAATGCCTATGCAATTTTATTAAAATTTGTCAAGATTAATTTTAAGGGTAATTTATCAGTCATAGCGACAACTAAAATTGCTATGACTTGACAGGCCTAAATAAAAATAACGTTTTATTTAGGCCTAAATATCGTATAGATGAATTACTTACAATAACTTCATAATTTGCATCTTCTACCACACTTGCTATTCTGTAGCCGTGGATCCCTTGGTCCGCAGTAATCGTTTTATTCTTCCATTCTTCGCTATTTCTGGATCTGTATCTCACATCAAAACCAATTATATTTCCGTATAGATTTCTGCTGAATGACTCAGATGGGTACACATAAACGGTGAGGAATGAATCATCCTGTGTTGCTGAGACTCCTGGAACTGGAGGTACTGGAAAATTAAACAGTGAAAATTATTGAAGTGATGAAATGTCGTTTGAAGGTTTGCATGACATAAAATGTCATTATGAAACGTATATTGTACATTGATAAAATCATAATACTTTGCGGAACCATAGAGATACTTATCTCTATCGTAATTAATTTTCACATGTTGTAATAATATGAAGGTTATCTCGCATTTTGTATTAAACCTGGTTGCACTCTGTAACTACGAAGCTGAAAAAAATGACATATGGAAACTTACGTAGTATTTTCGTAATAAGATATTATTGGCATTTGTCACTGTACATTTCCTGCATGTCTTATTTTTACTATAGTATTGCCATCGCCAATTTGATTCATATGCCTGTATTCAACATATAGTACAAGTGATTCCATTATACACGTTCTATTTTTACATACACCTGGTTCTAAAATCTATAAAGTCCAAATTTTATCTATTTGATTTGTATGTTAATCTATTTGTTTTCACTTAGTTATAATTTTAAGTCAATAAAACTTTATATGAGCCTTGTAATAGTGACTTCTGAAAAAACAATGGTTGTTCCCAAATATTAACATTAGTAATTAGTTTTGTCTAAGCTTATTGTTAAGCTCTGGTCACACTATTACGTTTTATGTGACAAAAATCTGTGATTCTTCCTTAAATTTGCATGAAAGTGCCATACCACAACATTTATAAAGGTATAATAAAATTGATAGTGTGGACAGAGGTTAGAAAGAGCACTAACTCTCTTCAGGTGAAAAAACACTTGTACCACTCTTGCCATTCCAGGGAAGTCTTTGTTACTTGCTGTTACAGAGATGCTGTATTCTGTGTATGTTTGAAGTTCCATTATTGTATAAAAATCATTAATGGTTGTTTTCTCAGTGATCATAGACACGTCTGTATTAACAGGTCTATAGGATATCGTATAACTGTCTACACCAGTTGAACACTTGGACTCGGTAACCTGGAGAAAAAAAACCCATGCAATTACTTTCCAAATTAAAATTTCGTTTTCAAATACAAGTAGTTTATAATTTTAAAAAAATGTATGTTGCAATTTCTAGGCCTAAAAAAGGACATTTATCAGAAATTTTTCATCAAAATCTATAAAAATATAAATAAAAAAAATAATTAAAAAAGAAGCAGGATACTATCGCACCCAAATTAATGTCATTGCAGCCATAAAGAGAGGACCGAAGCTTACTGAATACAAACAAAAACGGGACTTAGAGAATATATTTTTCTCTCAAACTTTACGATCTACAGGAAGAAATAAACCATTTACCGTTAATCGTTGCAAATAAATGTTGATCCTTTTAGCAAATTTGTTACTCGAATTTGCGTTGACTACTGGTGCTGATGGTTCTGAAATGAATATTAAAGAAAATATTCTACTAATAACATTAAAATTTTTGCATTAACAATCTTAATAATATTGGCAATTTTATTGTCATCTTCAGCTTTGCCATCATCATCATTATCTATTATGATAATCTATTATCATTATTATAAATCACTCATCACTAAGCCTATCATAAATCATCATCAACCAATCATAAATCATTATCTTCATAAATCATCATTATTATCATAAAAAATCAACGCCTCAAACAACATAAATCATCAATCATCTTAAATTATCATAACCATCAGTAATCATAAATCATTATCATCATCACTATAAATCATCAAGTAAATAATCATATTTATAAATTAAGATGATGATTTATGAAGATAATGATTTAGGGTGATTATTTACTTCATGATTTATAGTGGTAATGATGATAATGACTATAAATCCTGAAGTAAATAATTACTCTAAATCATTATCTTCACAAATCATCATCATAATTTATTACCATCATCATCACCATCACGATCACCTTCATCATCACAATCACCATCATAATTGTATTATCACAAAAACTGACCTGTCAACAATACAATAATTGATACCCAGGTTTGCATTTTTTCCAATTAAATTATTAAAATGTGCTTACCTCCACAAACTGTTGATACAGTTAGCTCATTACTTCCCCTTGGACCTTCACCCCCAGCACCTTCCCTCACCGCTGCAATAGCAAAGTCATATTCTTCTTCCCACCGTAAACCAGTCACTGTGGCTGTAAGACTGTTGTCTTGAGGTAAGTGGCTCCAAAGCGCAGATGATGAAGATCGTCTGTAATATACAACATATTCAATAACGGGACCATCACCATCATCTCCACTACTGGTACTCCAGTTCCTCCATCTCAATTCCACTAATGATCCAGTAACCGTCAGTGAGCTTGGCTGTCCAGTGTACGTTGGTAATACTAGTTGAAAAAACGTAAAATATATTTAAATTCATTAATTCATTTAAATCATATCAAACCACTGATCTTTAACATAAATAATACAAAAAAAAAAAAAAAAAAAAAAAAAAAAAAAAAAAAAAAAAAAAAAAAAAAAAAAAAAAAAAAAAAACTTACCAAAGATATTAAGTGAATGCTCTGCATATGCTGTATAAGAATCCGTAGCAAGTCTGCAGACATATGGAACTGCAACATTTGCTTCACTTGTAAATGTAACTCTGGTAACTCCATTTGATTCTGTGCGTCCAGTTTCTGTAGCAAGTTGGTTATTATTTACTTGAAGAAACTGAATTGTAACGTTAGTCACATCACCTTCAATGTCACATTGGAATGTGGACATCTGACCTGGATTAACCCTTGTGTTAGAAGATGCAGTGATTCCTATAGTAGCAAGGAGCAGGAACACAATATAGAAATACATAATTTATGATGAAAATATATTGTCTATTGTAAGACTGTTAATTCTTATAATAATTATTATTATTTAAATGTTTTTGAGGCTTAAACGCCTCAATCAAAATACGATACGCTATTGAAATGTGCATTTCAATCCTTTAGTTGAAACACAAGAAGAGTGGGGGATAAAATTGAACCGCAGTGGTTTGTAACTGTTTAGCCAACTTTTCTAAGTCTCTTTCACACACAGATAAAGCTTCAAGTCTATTTCTTCTTATTTTTAGGGGCTCCTTTTGGTGGTGAATTGGGCAAAACATGACCATGGGGCAATTCCCTACTCTTTTCCAAAGATTTTTACTGCGTTCTTTAAAGTGCACATGGACCTTATTGCACAGGAGACGAAAGGCTTAAACGTCTCATCCGAAAGACGATACGCTATTGAAATTGAGTTGAAACACAAGAAGTGTACGGGATAAAAATGAACCACAGTGGTTTGTAATTGTTTGACCAAGTTTTGCTAAGCCTCTTTCTCAAACACAATGCTAAATCTTCACGTCTTTTTCTTAAAATAAATACTTTAATTAGTGTTATATATTTGGCTATTAACTTATTGAAGCATTCAACTGAATATAACAAAACGAAATATATTAAAACATTTAATACATTTAATTACCTAACTTTATGGATGACATACATTAACATACACATATGAAATAAAGAAATTCAACATGTAATTACATGTGCACATGCAGAGCCTTTGCAGAACACCGGCAGTTGCTAACAAATACAAATATTCTCGTTAAAACAAGAAAAAGATCCAAGCTAACATATGGATGCTATGTATGGCGCCCGACGAAAGGTGAACTTAGCAAGAATCTACATATACATATGTTCTAAGATCAATCATACCTAAGTTCAAACGAAAACCGCTGATAATGAAGACGAAATCTGGGCATCATAATTAACTAACCATCAATTACATACACTAAGCAACACGCAGACTATCGAACAGTTCTACAGATCCCAAGAAATTAAATATGTTTTTATTTTTTATACAAATTAAAACAAAAAAGTTAGATAAACACCTTTCATTATAGATAATGCCATCAACTCAGCAGTATCCAGATCACATTCATCAGAGAGTCATTTAAACTTTAAACAGAATTACTATAGTTATCAATCTACTCTATCAACTGTCTGAGGATCAATAGATAAGGATTTGATAAGGGAACATCGAAAAGTAAACGAAAAGAAAAAATGGGGTCATCTAAGAAAGGAGAAGGAAAGAAAAGAAAGGGAAAACACGAGTAAAGAAAAGGAAAGAAAATGGAATAAAAAGATAAGAAAATATAAGAAAAATGGGGAAAAAAGACAATGTAATGTAAGAAAGAAAAAGGAAAGAATCAACAAGGAAGTGTAAAAAAGGAAACTGAAAGAAAACATATGGAAATATAAGAAAGGGAATGGAAAATTAAGGACTAATAAAGGAAAGAAAATGAACAGGAAGATGAACATTAGAAAGGAAAGAAAAGGACGATTTATCGTGTCGCCGCAACCTCTGATTCTCAGGGTTCCCAGAGACGATCATAAAGCGAATGGAAATGCAATATTGAATTAAAAACTGATAAATGTTGATACTACAAGTGAACAATAATAATTCAACAATGCATATACCCTAAAGTGTATGTAGAATAGAAAAGTAACCTTTTATATTTACTTTTACTTATCTCTCCATATTAACATCCTAAATAATATTATTTAACATAATTAGTCCTACTTTCTGCTAAAGTGTTAGCGTAATCAATATATGTCAATGACCACCGAATATTCTGTTAGCAGAAATTAATAGAAATAATAAATGAAGCATATAATAACATCACTGTTGAAGACAAAATGAATATTGCTTGAAAAAAAAATGTTGATGTGGAATTTCTTTACCTGTAGTGCAGGAGTTTAACAACCAATTATTTAGGCAACCGCCATTACATCCAGTTTCTTGATGACATGAGGCGGAATCACAATTACAATTAAAAGCACAATAGTAACCATAGCTTCCGGATTGGCAGGCTATAACAAATTCACAAAATAAAAATGATAAAACATTCTGTACATATTAAGAAGTAGTACCTTTTACTTGAAATAACTTGTCTCATGCAGTAATTTACTTTAATGTATTCATTAGTTGAATCAGCAGTGAGCGGTCGTGAGCGATACTGGGACGGAGTGTCTTCGTGTCCAATTTGAAAAATATGTAAAAATACTGTAATTAGTTTATCCAGATAGATATTTACGGAAACAATAGACAACTCCTGTGAACATTGGAGAAGTGAAAAGTAACAGGGTTTTATGGCTGATTGAAGTACACTTTGTAAACTAGTTAAAGGCATTAAAGAGCGAAATAATTATTATCATCTAATATAAATAGGGCTTATGTAACATTAACATGTGAATATAGTTTCAACAAAGCTAAATAGTATTTGCAAAGGTAGGATTAATAAATTTTCTTTTAAATTTACAAATATTGGCTTTTCGGAGAATTAAATAATGCAATGGTTCCACCAATTTTCTCGCAACTTCCCACCTGTTATTTCTATGTAATATATATTGTATAGATCTAAACAATATCCAGAGTCAAAAGAATTAGAGAGAGGTGTGTGACAACAAGACAAACCATAAAGAAGCATGGCGCATTTAGGTGGGTGTACTAACTGAATGAACATTGCAGTTTAATAGGTGTGACTTGGAGATGTGGAATTTTATAAGATGGTCGTGCGTAATATTGCACGACCATGTCTAACTTCTTGTAAAATGTTGGATATGGACACAGGTTTGGGAGAGTTAGCAATGAGGGGCGGATCTAGGGAGTCCAAAAGTGGGGCCGATTGAGACAACACTGCCTTATTTAACATTTGAGGCGTTCTGGGCTATCAATGTTTTCTTTTTCTTTTTTTTTTCACCTTTTTTACGGGAATACTTATTTGGTGTCATTGCTTAATGCAGAAACAGTGTTTTAAACTATTTCTTATAAGTTACACTTTTCTCTGTACTTGCCTTCACAAAATAAATTGTCATATGTATGGTATCCTATTGCACACAGTCCATTACTACATACACCAGTATTCTTATCACATTGAAAATTATCATGGCAATGGCAAATTGATGTACAAGATGTGCTGAAATAGCCAACGGGACAAGTGCTTGGAACTGCAAAAAGGAAAAAAAAAGAGTTGAGAGAAAAAAAAACACAACATGAACACTAATAAAATACAATACAATACAAGGCCTGTAATAAAAAATTAAAAAGACAATTGCATACATAATACAAACCTTCCTTGCTGTAGAGAAAAGACTGAGTTCTGCTGCGTTTTGTTTTTTTTTCTGTTTTTATTTTTTTTTTGTATATATAATATGGCAACTTAAAATAATTTTATATATATATATGATATGGTAGCAGAAATATTATTGTTAGGCCCGCATTCAATTTGGCTTTGGTTTTGTGACAATGTTTATAATATTTTTACAAAAAGTGAAATGACTATAAGCCAACTGTATCATTCTTTGGCAATTGGCAGTGACGTTAAAAATAATATGCACAATTGTATTAATAATATACATGCATTAGCAATTATATTAACATTTATTATGGAGCGATTGTTTTGTTTTTAAATACTTACTGTAGTTTTATGACAGTCTAGACTCTAATATTAACGCAGTGGCTATGCTTACGCCGATCTATTGAGCATGCGCAGGGCTGGCGTGAGCATTATTTTAGAGACTATGCTTACGCCGATGCTGCTTACTTCGACCTATATTGTAATATTTATTTATCTATTATTTATACTAAGAAACCTGTTAAGTGTTAAGCTACTGTTCTCCCATAGAGAGGACAACTATGCTTTGTATTTTGCCATAATGAGGTTTATGTTTTTTTTAATATCCATGTTTTTAACAATTCTATTATATACTTCCAATTGAAAAACTATTTGGCACTAAATTAAACTCTACCTTGACAGTTACTTCCAGACCATCCAGTTGCACAAGTACCTGACGCACACTCTCCAGTATACTGGTTACAAGATCCTGACGTACAGTGGCATTCCTGACTACAGCCCGCACCAAACTTTCCAGAGTCACAATCTGATGTTCGAAGGTAAATATTATAAGACCTCGGTTGAATGACTTAGTAAATGGTTGCACACCTTGTGCATTTTTATATTAAAAAGCAACCTATATTATATATAATTTATAATAATACAATATATATTTTAATATATATATGTAATGGTAAGATTATAATATAACCCATAACTTGCAACGTCATTGTGCTGAATTGCCATCGTACAGCTCTGCTAATAGTAGCGTGAAGTTCACATCATACCACAATGACAGTGTCTGAAATTACCCATAGCTTGGGGAAACCCCCTACATTTTCGTACAATACATTGTGTTCTTTAAAGTGCACACGAGGCAAATGTATAGGCCTACACTGGACCCGTTTTAAAGTCCTTATCCGAGAAGACTTGGTTCTACCAATCCAACCTTAGGGAAGAAGCGTCACAAGCCAGTGATACTCGGCCAAAACATAATCTAAAAAAAATATCTGTACTTAATCATATAGCTGCACTTCAGTCGCCACTGGTTCCGAGAAACCTAATTCGAATTTTCTTCGTATATATTTATATTAAAAAATTTAAATTTGCACATTCACATTTACATTAACGGTATATAACCACAGGTAACCTATATTTATTAATATATCATATGGACCAAGATAACAACTACATTAGAAAAATATAAAAATCATGATTTCATTTATTGAGCACCATTAACATAGCGCTTTAACAATGACAAGCAAAATTACAAAAGCACAATACAAATTCCATATAAATCACAAAGAAAAGTTCTTGAAAATAAAATATATTTTAATATACAGTATTATAATATGCACATTTATATAATGTGCTTTCCTCTTTTGGTCAAAAAATACGCAATTAATCAGCACAGAAAGATTATTTCCAAGAAAATGTATTTTAACCATTTACCCATTTAGAATTCTGGGTGAAGATAGACAATGTCTTCAGCAATTAAAGAAGCAGTGTCACCACATGAGACTCGGACTCATATCTCTATTGAAGGCGCTGAACCACATAGGGTGGCGCCATGACCATATGCCCCTGATAACTACTGTACATCCAGTACAAGAAACGTATATTTACCTTGGAATGATTTTAGTACTCACCTGTTAAACAATCAAGACCAGTAAAACCTGTTATACAGTTGCATCCATATGGATTAGGCAGGCAATAATGATTGCCTCTGCATCGATCTTCGTAACCATAACTACGTGTACATCTATATTCACAATTAAGTCCGAATTGATTACCACCACAAGCTATATTGAAAATAATAACTTAACGTATAATAACTTATAAGCAAATATGCCTATACTATATTTATTTTTATTCATCTATTATTACTTCATAAAATTCAACAAAAAAGAGATTATAATGCAAGGTCTAGAAATAAACTGATTTAATGTAGATATGAAATCAAGAATTATAAAAAAAATGCTTTGTCATCGATCAAACAATTAAACAATGAAATTTGTTTTGTCAGTTTCTTTTTTTTCTCTTTTGTGGGAGTCAACCCACATTTATTTCAAGCACATAATATTTCTTTAATTTTCCATTTCACAATAAAGATCATACAACAGTATATTAATAATAGCATTTAAATTAGGCACCTATAAACATTTAATATTGCAAAGTACAAACATTGCAGTTATCAATGTAAACAATGGGATAAAATTGGAAATGGCTTATACGATATTTTCGTTCTCTCCTTTATTTTGCCAGTTTCTAAAAACACTAACAGCGACATTATTATACAATATTGTTATAGAGCAGGGGTAGGCATAAAAATCGGTCGGAGGGCCAAAGTGATTTTTTGATTTAACACTGAGGGCCGCACCCAAACTTTGATGTTTCCAATGTGCTTAAAAAAAAAAAAAAAAAAAAAAAAAAAACCTCAAAGAACAGCTTTTTCACCAATTCATTCTCAGTTTTAATGTTACTTTTTACATATGATCGGTGTCAACAACATTGTGTTTTCTAGCCAATGTTGCTAGGGTTTCTAATTCATTTCGCGGGCCGCAAAATAATCTCTGGCAGGCTGCATTCGGGCCGCGGACCGCACTTTGCCCACCTGTGTTATAGAGTGTGATCGATACATATTGACAGATGTCATAATGTATTTTAGACATTTTTCATTGTCTAGGCCGAATTTGATTTTCTCGCCTTGATCGGACGTACACTTAGTATTATAGAGTGCACCTGATCGAATATCCCATATTGGAAGTACATCGAGGGAGGATCACCTTAACTGGGTGGCGTTAACAATTGGCATCTACTCAGGAACGAAACTCAATAGAGTATGATGTGCGGCAAAATTATTAATAAACTGTTGTGTTTTGTTTAAAAACATGAACTCAAATGATGACACTTAAGAGAGAGTATTGATAGCTTCGAGGCTGAAAATATAAAATTGGTCAAAGAAGTGCTGAGTGAATTCATCATTGATAAAAATCATAATGTGCATAATATGACATGAAACCATGATGTGTGACAACTTGACTTTATGTTAAGTGCCAATCCACGTCATATTCTTTGATTTCCAGGGTTGCGCTACAAGTTTAGCGCTCTTGGACACATTCATTCAGCGCTACGAGTCCAGCGCTTTAGTTTTAAAATAATATTTCAAGTGTTGCCCTACAAATTCAGATTCCTTTAGTACACTGACAAGGTGCTACATGTAACGGAGCTTGAGTGTTAAATTATGCTTGGATTTTAACCCAGTGTTATGAGATATAACGATGGATAGATATTGGATGTGTTGCTACGAGTTAAAGCTCCGAGGTTTCGCGCACGTATATAACAGCTGTTAAAGGTACACACAACATTGCCTAACCTTACTATTTCTTTAAGGTACACCATGCCAAAAGCAAGAAAGACCAGAGCAACATCGCCATCGACGGTCACCCGTCCACCACCAACCACGTCTGCCCAACCACCAGCCATCACTGAAATTGACTACGACAAACTGGCCGACGTCATTATACAAAAACAGCAGTCAGCTACCAATATGCCGGGTGCCAGCTTAGTCAATCCGTTGGCATCACGCATGTGTTGCCCTGGACCCGTTAGTCCCCACAGCGCTCGGTCAAGGTACTACAGTGGACGGCATGCTGTCCAACGTAGTTAACACAAACCCGAACAACCCAAACCTTTCCCCACAGATCGAATTAACCGACGGTATTCCGTTGGCAAAAATGGTGCCACCAAAAGTTAAAAACAAAATTTGGCAAAGCGAGTATGTGGATTTCAAAACACTCTACCATCATTTAAAGAGGATCCCTGGGTCGCGAATTTTAGGTCAGGCAATATTAACATTCAACAGAGCATCTCCCACAAACAGTCGCTAACACAAACCCAAACAACCCAACAATTCTTTAGTGGGTGGTGGTGGTTCTCTGTTGTACTTATCGAGAAAACCCCAGAACAAGCACCACATCTGCTCAAATACCATAGTTACATACTCGACTTGAACCTCCATGCCCAAGAAGGCGCGTGGCGGACGTATGACGAGTCCTTAGAGTTTTACGTCAGTCCATGGTGCTACCGTGGAATAAATGGGTTAATGATCTGAAATGGAAAGCTACCACATACAAATTAACACAAAAGACAAACAATTTTCGTTTTCGTCGCCTCCTCTTCTGCTTCGATTTCAACAACGGCCTCCTATGTACATCATTCCCATGCCCCTACAGTCACGTTTGTCAACTCCGCCGGGCTCCCCACCTAAAGCTACGATGCTTCAAACGACCCCGTAGAACGGTTCCCACCGAAGGAAATAGTCAAAACAAATCCAAATCCAACGAATACTTGGAGGGATACAATCCACAAAGGCGAAAAAGGTTTTCGACTTGGAAATTCACCCTCGGCTGCACATTACACCCATTTCCAGCAGTGTCTCAGAACCATAAAAGTACCCGAGAATACCCCGGGGTAATTCACAAGTATATTGCAAAGGGCCTAGAAAGGGACCGCATTACTGGTCCATTTCCTATACCTCCATTCGACAGATTTGTTGTGACTCCTCTAGGGGTCATTCCCAAGTCTTCCCCAGGTGAATTTAGAGTAATTCATGATCTGTCCTTCCCAAAGGGTACGAGGGGATACCAAGCGAACTTTCACAGGTTTCGTACGATTCAATTGATACCATTACTTTGCTAGTCCAAAAATGCGGTTCAGGTAGCCTTATGGTTAAAACTGACATTCAAGACGCTTTTCGCATCATCCCTATTAATCCACAAGACTATCGTCTCTTAGGATTTTAATGGGACAGCTTATTTTTATTACGACTGTTGTTTGCCGATGGGAGCTAGCAGCTCTTGTCAAATTTTTAAAAGTTTAGTGCTATACTTCAGTGGATTATGGGAAATAAATTTGGGTTTGGTCAATGTCTCACTTACTAGACGATTTCTTTTTCATCGGCCCTAAAAACTCCTCTACTTGCGCTGATATGCTAACACGATTTATGTTTTTATGCAAAGAGATCAACGTTCCCATTAAATTAGAGAAAACGGTTTCACTGGGAACTAAAATTACAATATACGGAATCGAAATTGACTTAGTGTCCATGCAATGTCGTTTGCCCTTTGAGAAATTACAAAAAAATAGAAACAAACTGACATGGGCGAAAAATAGCCGTACCATGACACTCAGAGAACTACATTCTTTAATAGGCCTCTTCAATTTTGCCTGTGCGGTGGTACTCCCCGGTCGCGCCTTCCTCCGACGGCTTATTATGCCCAATTTGACATTGATATGTGGTTCACATTTATTACATCTTTTAATGGGATCTCAATCTTCCTCAACAACAAATGGCTGATGTCCGACCAGATTGGGTTGTTTACTGATGCTTTACTGGTGCAGCAGTCCTCGGTAAAGAATGATTTGCATTTGAATGGCCATTTCAGCTCAGTCACCACCAAATCGCAGTTAAAGAACTTTTTCCGATCGTTTTGATACTCGAAATTTGGTGTTCATACGCTCACTGGCTCCTGTGATACGAGACTCCCGATCACGAAAGAGATATTATACAACTTACTAAACGCGGTGGTGGCGCACATTGAACAAAACCGAGATAACAATATCATAGTGGGTCCGGGGACATGCCCCCGCGATATTTCTGTGTTCTAGACGCCCAAAAATAACCTCTAATGCTTTTTGGGCGATCATTATTTTCTTTTTCTTTCTTTCTTTTCTTTTCATTTTTTTTTTTGACTTTCCAAAAGGAGGGGCCGGGGCCGGCCCGCCCCCTCTAAATCCGCCCCTGACCTGGACAGCAGAAATTGGGCGCCCCTAAGCGGAAAATTCGCACAATGGGAAGATGGAACTCCCAAGCCTTCCGCAATTACATCCGCATGTCGCATATCGGTTCTGAGATTTCAGCAATTGGCTGGGGCAATAAAATGCCGTGTAGTTCGCAAACACGCCTGTCAGCAGAGGCCTGGGGAAACATTACACTTATAAACGTTTCATCTACAAATCGTCGGGTGTCTATAAAACGAAGACCGCCGAAGACCCAAAAACGAAGACCCCTATTTTTTCTATTTTATTTTGATGATAATGAACCTGGCTGTCACAAAATCAAAATTACGAAATTTTTTGGGCGTCTGTTTGTGAAATATGTAAGGGTCCTCGTTTTATAGACACCCATATGGAAGACCGAAGACCTGAAAAACGAAGACCTTCAATTATTTCGCAATTATCTTATTGTAAGTATTTCAAAACCATCATAAAATAGTTGCCAAGTACGTATTTCATTATTTCATTGGAATAAAATCAGGAATATCAAGAAATACTTAAGGGTCTTCGTTTTATAGACACCCTATATGGGTGTCTATAAAACTAAGACCAAAGACCCAAAAACGAAGACCCCTATTTTTTCTCTTTTGTTTTGATGATAATACACCTGGCTGTCACAAAATCACAATTACGAGGTTATTTGAACTTTAGTTTGTGAAATTATCAAAGGTCTTCGTTTTATAGACACCCATATATGGGTGTCTACAAAACGAAGACCGAAAAACGAAGACCCACATTTCTTTTCTCTCAATCGTGATGAAAATAATGTTTTTAAATCACTTCGTGCTATGTATATATACTATTCGTCTTTTTAGCACATTATTTCCTGAATCGGAGTCAATTTAATTATTTACTTTTTATTCCAGTTCCAAAGCGGCAGCCATAATGTTGTTCCATGGCTGGCGGCAGAGCGCGTCTTGGCGCTGCTGCCCTCCAACGTAAGTAAGGCCTGGCCTAGCGGTAC